GCCAGTTGGTCGGAAGTTAACGTGAAATTAACTGCTTGTCTTCACCCTGGCAGAGAGGGAGAGGGATTACAAGCCAATAGCCGAGATCTGACAACCATGGAAAATATGGCTGACACTATTCCCGCCTGAATATCAGATTGATAGCTGCCTTCCGTTCCACTCGGAATAGTGGGTCGCCAAGATCACTGCTCGCAAACATGACCAAATCGGGATGGATGTCCCTTTCAAGCATAATCCGGGGAATCGCCTAGTGGCGGAAAGTTTGGGAGACGCGTAAAATCTATTATCTGATATCCCTGTATGGTGTGGGTTCTACTACAAATATCCACTGTTGGAGCTTGCCACGGCGGAGAGAAGGAAAAGCCATTGCAGAAAGAGTACATACTTTCCGAGTGCAATTTCTCTTATCAATCTAATCAATATACATATTGCGGAAAAGCCGGAAGTTCCCCGGGACATAATCAACCGTACATAACATGGTTGAACGAGGATTTGCTTTTGGCATTGTTGTAATTAAGGACGATATTGCTCGGTTATAGCGGAAAGGTGAGGTCTTAGGCCCTTTGTTAAACCTATTATATTCCTAGTATGCCTTTACTTGGGTATAATTGAGAAGCTCATGGCACTTTTCCAGGCTACCACAAATGGAATAATAGATTATCAATCGGAGCCTGACAGCACATTTGCATGCCGAAGCGAGAAGCTTGGCATCAGTCAAGATTTTAATCGAAGGCTTAAGCAAGTCTAGCCCACAGTAGCTTGGGTAAGCATAGACACCAAAGAATTCTATCGAAGTCTTGGCTACTCTAGAGTTCGGATGGTCGGTGTCCTGTATGCCTTTGATCCGCCCATTGACTGAAACTGAACGTCCGTTTGCCTAATTGACTGTTCTGTACTGTAAATACGGGTTTCGTAAAGTGGGCCCCTTGGCAAGAGCTTAGCTCAAAGGCTTGACCTCGTGCCAAGAACTACAATAAACACCACTACTAAGTGGGTCAGATCATGTATATTGGCTAGGCATCACACACGAACGTATTGCAGACTCTTCGCTCTGGCACGTTGAGCTCAGATTGGCGCCCTGTACTTCAATTGCAAAGGCCGAGTGGATACTCTGTTGTAGCCAGCATCTGCCGGGCAACAAACTTGGCATGTTCTCGAGCCGGAAATAGATGGCGCAAACTCGGTAGTCAGGATTGGTCCTTGACTCAGTTGTGCATGGATTAAGTTCGCTTAGCGCTTGGTATCACGTACAGCCCATGCGTATATCTTATGTTGATGCATAGTTGCATACGAACCATGTCGAAAAGAGTATTTTCTCGGCACTAGCAGGGCCGAAATGCCCATTATCGGAGAAAAAGACTAACTGGGAGACCTGTAAATGCAATCCTTGGCTTCCTGACCCCTCTCAGTCTAAAGAACCACAAGTGGGAGAATGTGCATATCTGGTGGACTTCTACGGATACGAATAATAATCATTTACCGTCCAATCCGTGGCTTCAAGTTACTTTGTATTGGACACCACTAGATATATAATAGCCCGGGCGGGTTCTTCCTTCAGAAGAAAATTGTTGTCATGGTCAGCGCAATGCATCTCAAAGCTACCTTTCTCGCACTGTGCTGGGTTGGCGTCCCGGTCCTTGCAGGACAAGGAGGTAGCCATAATGCTGCTGATAATTTCGACGAGTACTGTTTCTATTCCATTTATACAGCCCTTTCAGAATATACATTTGCTGGGAGTACAATTTTGGCGTCCTCCCAGGATAGTGGTGGTGGAACTAGCCATGGAGACTCCGGTACCTCTGGTGATGGGCAAACCTCTTCGAGCAATCAGTCCTCTTCTAGCGCGCAGTCCTCCGCTGCAAGTGAACATTCACATAGTAAGAGGTCTTTGCGCCGCCGAGGACACAAGGGCAGCTCAGGAAATTCAACTGGTCCATGCAATAGCACCATTGAAGTCACTTCGATGTATGCGAGTGCGAAAGCATGGTGCAGTAAGGCTGAGCTCAAGGCTACTATTCCATACTGGCAGAGTCTCTGTGAGCAAAATAGTTTGACCCTCATGGACCTGTCCGAGGTTGAAGCCAATGTTACCGATACATATCTTGCATCTCTACCCACTATTGACCCGGAAACGAATAGCACCTCGACGACTGGTACAATTGAATCACCAGTTCTACTCAGTCACGCCTACTATAAGAAGGCTCACAAGTCATACGTGCGTTTCTTTTACGTTTCGGGCTTTTCAATTTCTCTTGTCTCGTCTTCTGACCCATTGATAGGTGACTCATGATTTTGCTTTGGATAAGGATAAACGGTTCGGCTGGGGTCTGATGGGATACTGGGGAGGCATATTGGTCCTGGGTATGATGGCCAAATTAATGGGCTTAGTGTCTAGCCAACGGCGGGCTCCCAGTCGCCGAGATGCAGAGTCCAATATAGCCTCGCAAGACATGAATCAGAAACAAACTAAGCCTAAGGCCGGAGCATCTGTGTTGCATTACCTGCGGACTTACTTCGTTGTTCCCGCCAGCTTCGCTCCAATTGTGCCCCATCATCAACAGCTTTATTACTGGCACACCGTCCCGCGCCGCCTGGACCTCCTGATTGTTTTGGGATTTTGGGCCCTTTGCATTATTCTTGGCTGTGTTGACTATCAGAGCTTCTCTGGGAACATTGAGTATGATCTTCCAAACCCTTAGGAAGTATAGAGCCCATTAGCTAACTCATACCTCATAGGATGTCGAGTGTCTTCCAGCAGAACTGGCAATACTCCTCCGACCGCACAGGTATTCTGTCGTATGCCTGTCTTCCCTTCCTGTGGCTATTTGCTGGGCGCAGCAATATTTTTCTTTGGGCGACAAACTTCAGCGTACAGTCGTTTAATATCTTTCATCGTCATGTGGCTTGGGCGTGCACCATCCTCGCAATAATTCATTCCATCAACTACAGCGTTGTGTTTGCATACTATGGTGAGTGGTATACTAGTGAATGATCAACATTTTACTAACAAAGGCATTTTCATGGCAGACGGCAGATTCCAAAGTGTCTGGCTGCAAGAGTACTGGTATATGGGTGCAGTGGTGAGTCGGCGGCAGTGCTTTTCCCCGTTCAAAATGATGCCTTACTAACTCCCACCCAGGCTACTATTCTCATGTCCTTTATGCTCGTTCAATCGATGACCATGCTAAGACGCATTGGCTATGAGACATTCCTCATAATCCACATTGTTTTTGCAATTGTGGTTGTGTATGCTCTGTTCCGGTATGTACCCGTCGCTTAACAGTGCGCCAGTTACCCCTGCAGCAATCAGTATTAAACTAAACCTCTAAACCCTTTAAAGTCATACCAGCTTTGACGGCACCAAGTGGAATGGCTATCTGTGGCCAATGGTGGCGATCTGGGGCTTTGATCGGACTGCCCGCCTGGTCCGTATAGCCTACTGCAATCTCAACGTCCGGTTTGGGAAACAATTCATGTCTACCACCAAGTCGACGGTACACTACTGTGAGGCTAGCGATCTTATCAAGGTCGAACTATACCCTGCATCAACGACCCTTACCCCACGACCCGGGCAGCATTATTACCTCTATCAGCCTATTTCTCTCAAAGGTTGGGAAAACCACCCATTCACTCTGGGCGCCTACGTATTAGCTCAAGAAAAGGACTCTGAACAAGGCAATAAGTTAATCTTCTACATCCGTCCCTACGATGGATGGACGAGGCGCCTTCGCGACCTTTGCCGCAAAGCCCAGGTGGAAATTCATCTTCCCCTATTGCTGGAAGGTCCCTACGGATCTACAGCCGCTCTCCACACATGCGAGTCCATTCTGATGATTGTCGGTGGCACCGGTATCGCCGCCGCAGTGCCATACATCATTGAACACGTCTCGCGCGCGAAAGAAAGAACGACAAGAACAGTACGAATCCAACTAGTTTGGTCTGCTCGGAGCACAGAGATGTACTCACAGGTCTTCTGCGATGAGCTAAGCACCCTCCTGCATCATGAAGATATCACCACGACCTACTTCTGCACCAGCAAATCGTCATTCGGCCTCGAGATGAAGACTGAAAGTGGTGAACTACCTGGAGAGAGCCCAGTGAGGTCCACCTTGGGTGACAAGGAAGGAAATGTGACTTCGTCTGTACGGAACGGAACCGTGCAATTTCTCTCTGGCCGTCCTGATGTGGGTGGTATTATCAAAACGGAGGTGCAAGAAGCCAAGGTCAGTTCTGGCCGATTGGCAGTGCTCACCTGTGGCCCAGCTCAGATGGCGGATGATTGTCGACAAATGGTGTATGAGGTAATGAAAGACGGATTCCAAGACATTGAGTACCATGAAGAAGCGTTCGGGTGGTAGTGCAGTATATCTGCCGAGACCTGACGGATCATTGGTGGGGCAAACATTGATCGATAAGGATTGATTGATTGATTAGATAACAGGTTTAATCCCCGAAGGATCAGGCCATGCATTCAAAATCCCATTGCGTCAGTTAAGCTTTCATATTGCTATAATCTGTTATTTATAAGGTCCTTCTTCAGAAACACACTACAAAGCATCTGAAGCTCGATATCTCGAGCTTGATTACTTGTGCAGATCCAATCCATATATATATGTACGCTACCAGCCTGGACTAGCTAGCAACCCCTGAACACATCTTGACAACGGCTGGATAGTAACTAGTCCTACTTTTCTCTAATCATGCATCTTTTATTCCCAACTAATAGATTACTATATTAATGAGTAACTGTAGCTGCTGCTGTTGACATCTTGTCCGTCTAGGGCAAAGCAGGGCGGTCAAACACGTGGTGTGGAAAAGGAGTCGGCAGACGTCCGAGAGTAATTTTTGGTTCGTTTTCTTTTTTCCCCACAAGTCGGGACTTGGAGGAGTCAAACCTTGGCAATTCGCTTCGTTCCTTCTTTTTTCTTCTATCTTTTCTCTTTCCTTGTGTGACTCCTCTGATACTACTCAATAAACAAAGGAACAATTCGAAACTCTTCAATGGGATTGTACTGTACCTCGTAAACTACTGCTGTCTACCACACCAATGGTTTTCCCAGGAAGGCGAAGTACCGGCTGCTATGTTTGTCGCGAGCGGAAAGTCAAGGTGAGTTCAAGTTGATCTCTCAGGGCCAACTACAGCCGGAAAGATATTAACGGTCAAACCAGTGTGACGGCGCGCGGCCAGCATGCGCACGCTGCACCAAGTTTGGGAGAAAATGTATTGGCTATCCCGACTCGTTTAAGTTTCGATTCTACGATACTACGTGCTTTCAGAATGAGGCCTCGACCCCACTAAGACCTGGACATGTCCGAGCGAACCCCGCTACTGTCCAGGAAGGGAAACGGAGGGATCCATCGAATGGAACTGCGCAGCCAACACGCCATGATCGTCCAAAAGTACCCTCAAAGTCGCAACCACCATCCGTGCCCCAGTCTTTGTCGATTACTTCCTGGGAGCTCTGGCCCTTATCCTACTTTTTTCATCAACATGTACTTATCGTCCATAGATCTCCCTGTGGAGGCCATCTAGCCTTCCTACCGGAGCTCTACCGTGAGAAGGGCTCTGAGCCCTGCCTCAAGCATGCTGTGCTTAGTGTTGCATATCTAGCCCTGTTCAATTCTAATCGTTCTCATTCTCTTTGGATTCAAGCCAGGAATAACTACAGCACCGCATTGATGGCATTAGCAGCGGCTTTAAACACACCGGAGTCAGCCACTAGAGATGAGGTATTTGCGGCCTCCTTGTTCCTGAGCATGTTTATAGTAGGTTCTTTCTACCCGAGGGCAGGGCCTCATTTAAAAGTAAATTAACCATGATTTTAGGATTTAAGCAATGAGAGGGAAAACTCGTTAAATGCCCACATTCCCGGCATCCACGCGTTGATGCAACTACGGGGAGTCGCTTCTTTGCGTGGCAAATATGGTCGGGTGTTACTTGCGTGGGCATTTATACAATCGGTGAGTTAAACACCAGAATTGTCAACTTCTGTGTCACGAAGTTCTAACTGAGTATATTGTTAGCAAATACAAGCCATAGCCAGCAACGACTTTGGGTATGGCTGCTTACCGGCGCCTTTGAGTACGATGGAAAACCCTGATAGTGTCTGTCGTGCTGGAATTGTAATCAGCATGATCTCAAAATTCTGTGAATCCGTAAGATACCTTAAGAAGTATATGCAGGTTCAGATTCTGGGCGGCTATGATTCAAGCGCAGAACCCTCGTACGAACTGTTAGAGCAAGCAGGCTCTATCATGAACCAGATCGACAGCTGGCACGCTCGGCTTCCACGTCACTGGAAAGCCAAGCTGAAGGATACAACCCCTGACAGTCTTCCCGGGGAACGTATCTCAGCTTCCGAGGATTCTTGGACAACGTGTTTCGTGGCCATCATTAGTGCGACGCACTTGTTCTTTTACCTGCAATTTCTCGAATACTGTGAATGTTTCACACCTAACTTGGAAGCCTTGAAGGCCCTCCCAGACGAAAATTCAATCTACTACCCACTCTACGGAATCGGCAGTCGCATTCAGGATTCAATCAACATCATATGCCTGTCTGTGTCATATGCACTGGGCAGCATGAATGGACATGGCGGGTTTGAACCCTTCCACAATACCAAGCACGGGATTGGGTACAACCTTCTCTGGCCTATGTCGCTTGTTGCGACCTGTCAGTTCTCCACGACCGAGCAAGCTCGTCTTTGTCAGCAAGCACTGGAGTACACCTGGTCGACAATGGGCCGGATTGACAGTTTATCCTGAGCAAATACCTTCAAGAGGGTGTGCCCAGCTATGTGGTGAAGCTTGGCCATCATCACCCAACTTCTTGACGAACTGCTTGAATGACATTAAACTTGTCTTTGTCATATGATGACACCTTACTCACAGACAATAAACTCTAGACCACGTTCGTTGCGGTGAGATAGCTCGTCGATTAGGCGGGTCTAGGGCAAGATTTGTTTCAAGGGGTTTCATCTCCCTCACCTACTAGTACTCGCCGGTGTTCTAGTGAGCCATGTATGAGATGCCCAACAGGTTGCCGCCACGTTTTGAAGTCTGCAGTGGTATCCGCAGCAAACCATCCCTTAGAAGCCCTGGCGTCTCGTGGAATGACGTGATGATCAGCCCAGGAGCCCTCCCGGGGTTGACGTAAACAATGACGAATCTAACATTTGTTGGCCTCTGACAAAACAAAGGACACGCAAACTGCCGTCGTGCCCGAACCGCAGATCCAATATTTAGCAGGGACCTGTGTCACCTTCCTGTTCATAAGGTCTTGAGGGCTGGGGCCGCTGGGCTATAGGGGAGAGGTGAGACTGAGAGTGTCAAGGCGATGTGAAGAGAGTCTTACGATTTCAAGATATCACTATCTTGAATTATAAGTGGGAATCCTTACGCAAAGCTTAACTTCTCCCCCACCTAATCTGATCTACCCTAAGTGGCCAAAGGGGTAAATGATGCAGATTAAAGCGGAAGGCTCCACACGCTAGAGGCAGGTTGCATTTTCTGAAATTTGGTGGATTCCCCTCCAAGGGGCTAAGATCTACAAAGTATATTGGTTCAGCAACTTGCTTGGCTTGCTAATGATCCGACATATAGCCAACGTTATATAAGTTAGGCACTGTCCGTTGCTCGCACCAACTGTTCATCCACCCAATCAATCGTTCCTTACAGTCTGTCTCTCATTTTACCTGATCTTTCTCCCTTCGCGATGTTGTCCTTCCTTTTCTTTACTACAGCACTTGCTGCCTCTGCGTTCAACACTTCTTCGGTCTGTGGCGCTGGTTTGTCGATCGGCACATACACTATCCGTGCGAACGACACCATTTACTCCATCGCCACCAGCCTCAACCGTGGGGTCTGTCCGCTGGCAAGGTACAATCACTTATCAGACCCCGAGCTTCTTTATCCCGGCGAGGTGCTCTACATCCCCCCTGAGGCCTGCAATATCAACGCCAGCGACACCTCCTGTCTCCTCAGTCTCCAGAATTCGAGCACCAACGATTGCATCTTTGGCGGTCCCCACACATACCGCACCTTTGTGGGTGATACCCTCCGCAAGATCGCTCTGGGCAAGTTCAAAATCACCCTGGAGGCTTTGGAAAGCTCTGTCGGTCGCATGGCGGGTGTCTCATCACCTGACGAGACCATTGAGCCCAACACATTCATCAAGCTCCCGCAATGTAATCCTAGCTCGTGTGGAATCAAGCCCCTAGAATATGTTTGGGGTACGTACAAGGATCTAGCGGAGGAGTACGGAACCACGCCGGGGCAGATCTTTGCTTTGAACCCGACTTTTAATCATAGTTCTACGGGACCGGGAGTTGGGGGATGGATTACGTTGCCAGTTAATTGCGGACTAGAGAAGGAGACGTATACAGTTGTTTCTTAAATATGAAGTATTATGTACTATATTTTCGATAGAAAGGTAGAGATTCAATCGTCTGATTAGCTATAGTATAACCTATAATTTCCGCGAAAATAGTTTTATACGTTTCAACGCTATGTTATACCCAAAGAGAACCGAGAATAGGAGGCCGGAACAGGCATGATATGCGCATGAGTCGTCATCATGGCCGTCAGCTGTCAGTGGCACTGTATATCTCGTCTTTAGCTCGACGACGCAAAAGGATTTTCATCTCGGCCGTGAACTCGGCTCGGGGGAAATTACCCGCAAGAGGGGGAGTTTGCGAAAGTCCCCCACTTACACTTGCCCTTATTGCCGATACTCCACTTGGACTCCACCGCGCAGCAGATCCATGAAACGACCTGCTAATGCGGGATCATTCTGCCCGGCGTTCAGCATCATACTGTGAAGTCTCGAGGTAGTAATACCATATTGCTCTAATATGATCTTGTTTGTAGGTCCAACCATGTCGGCTACCGCGGTAAAAGCCGACTCCGACTCGGGTGTATTCGAGTAGCTGACGAAAACGAGAGATAATTAGATAAATTCTTTAGGTTATGTAGTCTTACGAGGATGATGGTATTGCGGTGATATTAGTCGGCCGAGTGAGGCTTCATTCTGCCTTCGATAGCTTCAGATTGAGACAAGAACAACTACTTACAGAAGATCAGAAAACATTAGATTTCCATCAATTCTATTCCAAGAAGAGCTTTTAATCAGTCTAGTCTCACTTTCCAGTCACATTTCCTTACATTTTGATCGATTCTAATACGTTTTGATCGAATCTAATTCATTTCCTTTACAGTATTAAAGTCAGCATTCATAGTTTTCCATAGTTTAAGTCTTATATTACAATAACTTTTAGAATATCAGATCATCTTCACCCATAAAAAGCCTAAACTGTGTGCAATAGCATGGTATCAATCATTATTGTAGTATTCTTATGATTCAAATGGACAGCCCCAAGAATCCGTCATATCAGATAGTCAATTAGTCCCATACAGGTCCCCAGTAATCATTCTCCCCTTGATATGCCTCATCATACTTCTGCGGCCGAGGATGATGATAATCCTTTCGTGATCCCTGCGGCCAGATCGGAATTGCACAGAACTCATCGTCATGGTACCCACGACACTCCTTCCACGCTGTCCAGTCCAGATAACCCATCAAGTCCCGAATCGTAGAGACCATAGTCCGGAGGTCAGTCCCTTTCCTTACAGCCATCATTGTCGAGCATATCCGGTGATTGACAGCGTATAATGTTCTGTGAGCAAGAGATGAGTTGTCAGTGGGAAGTGGGACAAACTGGGTGGAGCAGAGCTTAATAGCCTGCTCGTCATCTTCGCTTCGGACATCGATGAACGGTGCCATGAGACGGTCAATCTGAGTAACAATAAACTCGCGAAGGTCAGAGTCACCAAGGTGATGTTTCCGTGGTAGTAGACCATGGAGAAAGCGACCGTATTTCTCAACTATCAGGTCTGCGACAGCCTGCCAGTTCACCGAGCGATCATTGGGATTGTGTGTGAGCACCAAATGCGTCAAGTTATCACGAATAGGCTGTAATTGTTCGCTGGCCAAGTGTGTCAAACGTGGCACCCTGCTATCCCCAGGGAACAGGTCAAGGTTGTAGCTATAATAAGCCGTAACAAAATGATCGTAGTTCACTCGAACTCGCTCACCCCCGATACCATGAAACCGAGACGTGACTGCTCTCAGAAGCTCACCGGGCTTGCCCTTCGGCTTCCCCTTCCCATCCTTGTGTGGCCCCTTCGTGAAACCAGGGTGTCTGACCTGGGTCACCTGCACAGGTACCAGATTTACTTCAGGGTCACATAGAATAATCTCAAACCCAGCAGCCATACGAATAACACCATCAATCCGTCCTTTCCATTCCGTCTGCGCAATACGACAGACAGCCTTCGCCCGCTGGTCTTCCATCCCCACACCCCCACGCAGGGTAGTATCATTGAACAAGATACGATCCTGGGAGTCCAGTGTACCAATCTGCGACTTTCCCGCAGAGGTACCATCGATATAAATAAGACGCAGTTCCTTGGCAGTTACGAACGTATGCAGGAAACCTGAGTCATCCGCAGGCGGATCCTCTGGCGCCATCGCATGTTGCAAATGCTCGTCCTGAAGCTTAGACGGAGACTGTCGCCGTGACGGACGAGCAAAGACCATCGCATGGTCAGGTTCAAAGGCCATCCACCCGATTTCCTTGATAGGGTCTGATCGGGCATTTCCGTGATAGAGCTGGATGCCCTCGGGGACGGTGGCCAGGAAGAATGACATGCCATTGTGATGAAGTGATGAGCCCCACAGGCGCATTGAGGCATGGATAGCGTTGAAGATATGGTTTGCATTGTGCATGGCAGCACTGCCGGCCAGGAATAGTGCTAGAGTTGGAAGTATTTTGTTTGCATGCATGGGAAATGATGGATGTGTGTCAGTAGTATAGTGTGTTTGGGGTTGATGCTACGGGTTCTATGTTGGGGTATTTAATGGTGCAGCAATGGCCTACATAAGCTTGCATATAACACTACTTTAGATAGGAATAGATTAGTGGCTACCCCTACGCCATTTCTTTTCTTTTTCTTTTCTTTTCTTTTCTTTTCTTTTCTTTTATTTTCTTTTCTTTTCTTTTCTTTTATTTTCTTTTATTTTTTTATTTTTATTTTTTTATTTTTATTTTTATTTTTTGCCCTTTCCATGGCCGAGACGTGGAAATCCTTAACGCCGAGCTCGGGATCGGATTCGGATGTAGAAAACAACAAAAAAAGGTTACTAGTCCCTTTACAGTAATATAGACATACATAACGAGCACATTTTTGCAAGTCAAGTTGGTAAGGATCATGTATAGGCTTTTCATGACTTCTGCCCTTTGGAACAGGATTTCATTAATATTGTAAGGACTAGATTAAAATCTTGAATTTGTACATTATCAGTGTTCAGATTAGCCCGTTAACTGTCGACAGGATTTATGGTCGTTCCTTGCTATTGTTTATGTGATACTTAAACAAACATTCTACAAAGCACGGCGGCCTATTAATCCATTCATGCTTGACAATCGTTCAATAAATCACAAATAGCGATAAATATAGGTTAGTCATAACAAAGTGTGTAAAAATATTTCATATACTGAATGTGATATAGAACATGTTGCTTTCGGAAGCCATCATTAGTGTTAGACTGATACTGCTTTGATATTATCACTTGGAAATAAACATGTCTTTTACTATTTGCTCTCTTTTATGCTACAGTTGTGCCACGGTAAATCCAGAATGTTTTAGTCCTGGTGCTCTTTCATGAAAATATCAAGGGCCTGTCTTGCTAAACCATTCGTTGTTGTCTAAATCACCTGAAGTCAACAATTAACAGCACGGACAATATTTGCTTGGCCGACTAGTAATAAAATAATACATATTCTTCTAGTATATCACTTAAAAAGCCCCTCCATCAGCCATGGGTCAAATAACAGCTCCTTCGCCGTGGCCCGGTCATCTGGACTCCAGCACAACATCCTTCGCATGAACTGCAAAAGTCTGCCCTTGTCATTCCCTTCAAGCTTCTCTTCTAGGGTTTCAAGGTTGTATGTTGGAACAGAAATATCTGAGTTCCAGTCACCTGGCCCAGTTGTCAGCCAAATGGTATACCAACGCATAGTTCGGTCTTAGCAATAGAGGGAGGCGTACCATTTCCATCTCAGAATAAGTTGTACTTCTCACCACGTTGAACAAAGTCCAAAGGAGGAGGTCCCAGGATAGCTTGCATTTCTGCGAGATGCTGTGCATCGTCCAGGCGACCCTGGGCATCTCGGGCTTGAAAAAGCTGCTGACCTTCGAATAGGTCCCAAGTCTAGGAATGTGAGTTGATTACCCGCCTCCTTGAAGCATTTACGAGTGAGCTTACCAACACGCCCACGTTCCAAATGTCGGCCTTGTAATTCCAATGTATTTGCAGAATCAATTCAGGAGCCCTGTACACATCTGGCACGATGTCCTCGGCGTGGTTTTCTGTCCCAATTCTAGCCTCGCCGAAGTCACATAGTACTGGAGTTCCATAAGACATAACCAGATGTCGTGAAAGATAGATGGTATGCTGTGCTTCGACCTTACGAGGGATTGGCGATTCAAACTCTGCTCCTTCGAAATTTTAGGGATAGTATCTTCGCATTGGAATCGTAGTAATTCTTATGGCGGTGGTTTGTATACGCCCCGAAAATGGATCTCTGGTCTGGTCGTCTCCAAGACGGAGAGATTGCGGAGCTAACGAGCCCAGGCCCAAACCGACCGATGTGGAAACGTCCTTTGGATCTTATCGTGTGATGTACATGAGGAAGTTAACAATACATTAGGCATGCTGAGGGTGACATGGGCATGTCCTTTGTAGGTTCCTTGGCCTTGTTCTACAAGCCAACAGGTTTGAACAGGGATTTCTAAGGAGCGCTAATTGTCAGCTTCACCTTATATCGAACCTTTTGCTTTATGAAAGGAAATATCATGGCCACGTAGTACTCTTAAGCATTTAGAATACCCCAGGAATCAATCCAACACATATACTAACCGGGATCTCGCCTTGGTGTTCATCTAGCTTTCTTGACGTAGTTGTTAGCACTGATGAAAAGGTGTCTGAGAACTGTATTGAAGAATGCTCACCCGTGCAGTAGCGGTAGAATTAGACTTGGTCATGTTCCAGAGGTTTGACAGGGCGTTAATCAAGCAAGCAATTTGTCATTATCATTATGTTGCCGTACATCAATCAGGACCCTTTGTGAAAAAAGGAAAACGAGGACAGTAGTAAAACGACTCGATTTCAACATATGAGAACTTGTATGATAATCTAACGGTTGAGGTCTTCGTCTAATTATGTTTCTTGGGTACTACGTGGTTTATTGAAGATGAGATATGAAGGAACATAATGGCTTCCAAGGTCAAACACCCCCTACTTGGCTTTGACAAAGGCAAACCAACGCAGAGTTGTCAGTTTATCTGTAATATAGTCTGTGATACCCTCTCTGCCATTTTGATTATTGGCCGATGAGCTGTAGAAAAGAGATTGCTGTGAAGCTGGATCAAACTCGAATTTCTAACCCGAGTGTATCAGATTGTTGGTGGTTAGGGCAAGACTCCTCTAATATTCTCGCTCTCTAATATTCTCGCTCAACACTCTCATTACTATACATGATTCAGTCATAAATAAATTTTAAATGTTTTCCCGTAATTTCCATATCCCCTGTCTCCCAAAATCTCCATAAGAGAAATCACGCGTTCACCACCTCTCCGAGCTCCTTCTCCTTCGCCGCTAACTGCGCTGCCTCGTCCGCAGTGAGGTCCATCAACGGACTGTCTTCGCCCGACTGAATGTTGCGATAGTACGCCCGGATAATACTATCAGCATCATCGATCGCAATTGGGCGAATATCGGCTAGAGCCTTGATCTTGGCCGTGCACTCCTTGTATTGCTTGTCGGTCATGCTGATGTTTAGTTGCTGCGCCCGGGATCGGATAGCGTTCCAACCGGTCAGCCGCGAGGCAAAGTGCACGTAGCGAGTCATGCCAAAGTCTGCGGGGTTGATGATTTCGTAGGTACTGGGGTCGTTTAGGATGGCTTTGGCATGGATACCTAGGATCAATGTTAATGAGCCGTGTGGGAACCTGAGGAAGAGGAGAACGCACCAGCCTTGTGAGTGAATGCGCAAAAGCCTGTGATGTAGTTGTTGAAGGGGATATTAATCTCCACGGCCTCGGCAACAAGATCCTCCAGATCCTTAATCTTATCAAGCCGGTACTTTGACTTCACATACTCTGGATGCGTGGCAACCATTCGTGCCATCAGTCCTCCAAGCGGGGTAATGCCATTTCGCTCACCAATCCCCAGCACAGAAGTGTCGATATGCGTTGCACCCGCTTCGAGGGCGCAATATGCATTTGCAATGGCACATCCTGCATCGTTGTGGAAATGGGTCTCGATATCGCAGCTGACTACGCCGCGGAGGACGCGGATAAGCTCATACACTTGTCGTGGGGAGGCACAGCCGATTGTATCGGCAACGCCGACTCGGTGTACCCCGACTTGGTCGACGGCAGAATATATTGAGAGGAGGTCCACCAGGTCTGAGCGGAAAGAGTCTTCTGTTGAGAAGCGGACTTCGATCCCTTGCGCCTTGACGTACTTGATTACTTCAATGGCGGTCTTCTTGATGTACTCAATGTCCTTGCCATGGGAGTGCTGGCGCATAAGAGATGACGTCCCGATCATTACATCGCTAATTATCATTTAGTCGGGCATAATAGCCGTGGGCAAATGGGGACATACACGCCATCGACGCCGGTGGCCACGGCAACCCGCACATCGTCCATATGGCACCGAATATGGGTCAGAATCTTAGCCTTAAGACCTAAATTGCAGATAGCCTCGCAGTCAAGCCTCGACTGCTCCGAGGCGCACGGATTCGTGAGCTCAATGTAATCAACCCCGAACTCATCTAGTGCTTTGGCAATCTCAATCTTCTTCTGTGTGTCGAAGAAGGCATTGGCAAACTGCTCGCCCTCCCGCAGGGTGCTCTCGATAATCTTAAACCGCGAGACATTGCTCAGAAAATCGCTAACCCCATTGCCATGGCCGTAGGGGTTACGGTTCGCAGAGCTAGTGCTCGAGGCTGTCGAAGTTAGAAAATAAACGCTTCTTTTGGTCAGATCGCGTACCTGTGCCGTTGTCACTGGGGTTTGACATTGTGCTGGTCTCGTCTGTGGTGGTCGCAGTGTAGTGAAGGGATGCTTGATTGAGGGAGGGCTTTTGGCGCTATTTGAATCCATGATCGTTGCCAAGTTTCATGACTCAATCACAAGTGAGTCACGAAGCTCTGATCGCCATGGGGAAAATTGGGGATGTGCTTCAGATGCTTGTCGGACTTTTTCCGTTGCGTGTCGGGAATTTTCCGGGCCGTCTGACCTCCTCCATCAACCTGAATGATGTCGCCTCCGTAAGTATAGGATACGACATATAGATTTTTGAATCCCTATTGAGCTCTTTTAACTTGTAAGTGATTATCGTCGGGACGCTGTTTGGCTTTTCAACTCGTTACTGGTTGTATGTATTCACCATGTCTTCAAGTTCAGCAATAACCAAGCGCGTCTCGACAGCAAGACCATCGTGATAAACGGTGCCTCATCCAGGGTTGGGAAGAGTGTGGCAAAGGAATTCGCCCGGACGTCACCCGCTAATCTAAAGCTGATTCTCACCGTACGCCGGATTGACAACCTTTGCGAGGTCGCCGCCGAGATCCAGCAGCAAGTTGGCGATGGGGTCAAAGTACTCCCCATCCAGCTAGATGTTAGTCAACCGCAGGAGACCGAACAATTCGTCCCCTGGTTACCAGAGGAGTTTAAGGATGTTGATATACTAGTTAACAATGTGTGCGTTTTCTTGATTCATGACCCCTTGCATGCCTGCGCGGCTTTCACTATCAAATTCTATATACGGCGGTCTTGCCAATGGCATGGCTCAAGCGCCTGATATTAACCCGGAAAATATGGCCGTAATGCTCGATACGAATTTTACTGGCTTGATCAACATGGCACAGACTATCCTACCCATCTTCAAGACCAGACCTGATGGCGGGCGAGGGGATATCATCAACATTGGCAGTATCGCCGGCCGAGAGCCATACCAGCGTGGGAGTATTTAGCGCGCGACAAAAGCAGCCATTCGTTCGTTTACAGATAGCCTGAGTAAGGAACTTATTGCTACACGTATCAGTGTTTATTAAGATTGACTCGGGTCAAGTGGAGACGGTAGGCCTACCCGTGGGATATGGAACAGGACATGCGGGGGCTGACTTGGCTGATAGGAGTTGTCGATTGTGAGGTTCGATGGTAATAAGGCGAAGGCGGATGCTGTTTACAACTAAGTTGCTACGATATGAAGTGTGACGTATAGGAACTGATGGCTTGCAGGGGAGTCGAGCCTCTGACCGGCGACGATATCGCCGAGATCGTGGTATTTGCTGCTGGGCGAGCGTGGGAATGTTGTCATTGCTGACACCCTGCTTTTGCGTAATCACCAGGTAAGCTCCTGCCCAGGGTTGATACCGTTGATTGGAACTAATACCAGAGAATCTCCAGGCTGCCGCGGGAATTATGCATCGCAAGTGGTGAGTAGAGCCCCAGGTATTCTGGTGGGCGCACGACACGGTCTTCCTAAACCTGGCGTTGAACGAGGCACCCCTTATCCTGTAACCCCCTACCGCTTGGTAGCACAGGCATTAAATTTAAGGCCAATACCCTTTCCCAACCTCTATTCCAGAAGGTCCGCGTAACGAAAACATGCTATATACAATCCTCCACTGAGAGTAGTGCCTGCGCCTTCTCATAAAAGCTACCCCATCTATAACCCCGATGCCTTATGTACCTGCACTCTGAGGCACTATCTGACGGGTTTCGGAACCCTAGGAGGGCAGAGCTGTAGATTAGATGTCATTTTCACGAACTGGTATGTCTTGTAATTATTGCTATCATTTTTATATTTTCAAACTTCGACCTTCCTTAATTAACTAACGTACCTCCACAGTTTTCTATGTATTTCAAAATCTAAGAATATGCATCATTACTGGGATATATCTTGCATAAAGATAATTCTCTTGGCCTTAATTTCTTATACTCAACTAGATGACAAAAGCGAGGTCAAGGAGCCGTGAGAGAGATATCTCGGTCCTAGAAAGCCTCAGACGGCATGTTCATCACAAGGCTGCGGGCCAGATGCTGCTGCCGAAAAAGAACCGTAGTCAAAGTTAGGCTCATCAGGCATTGCAACATTGAGCTGCATATGAGGATAGAGATTGGAACCCAAGAGTGCAGATCGAGTTCTTGGGCTAAGGTCGTCTGGCATGTCCAGCATGACTTCCGACCCAAAGGAGATATTCTGCCCCGGAAACGCGGGAAGCCAGTAATCCAACACCTCCGAGTCATCAACCAGGAAGTCTCCGGCTGCCGATAACCGGGAAGATTGGCCGGTGAATGTACAGTCCAATGCACCATACGTCGGACCGTCGGTTGTGGGAGGCTCTGGCGAAGCCGGCGGTTGGTTATCTGCCTGCTGGTGATTGATAGCTGGGAATAGTGAATCAAGTTCCCTAGCCACGTTTCTCTCCAAAATTTTCTTTATTCGGGAGCGAATAATGTCAATGCTTCGATTTAAGCCCGGCATGGTAGTAGACGTGCGTTGTAACCCTCTGTGTCTGATTATAGCAAATAGAGCCCCTATTTTTGTCCTGTTCCGAGGAAGATCATACTTTTGATGGGCCATCCCGCCGCATGGCTTTGGATATTTTGCAAGCGAGAAACAAGACATACCAGCTCCAGCTTTTCTCCGGCGTGGAGCATGGCTTGGCTCTGCGTGGAAACATGGACGACGCTTATGAGCGTAAGTCGTTTCTTCGTCAATTTGGGACTGAAGATCTGGTATCGCTGATTCTTACAGGATATGTAAAAGAACAATCTCTACGAGGCATTGTGCAGTGGTTTGACTTCTGGTTATCACAAAAGGATACATCGGGCAGTCTCAATAACCTTTGAGATATGTAATATGTATGAATTATTGACACTTTCTTATACAACTATTATGTAGGGCGTTGCAATATGTCTTTTCCCCCCTCGCTGGAATCATCTTAAAACTGGGGTCTTCCATTTACGGTAGTTATTCAAGAGTAGAGTATTGTAGTTTAGAAGTTAAATTCTGGTACGTCACTAGGCTAAATCCAAGATCGAATCGAGCTCCAGACTGCTTGTCCTAGAGTATCCCGTTCTTGTGTGCTGCTCTTCAATTCCTACGAAGTCTTCCGAGTTATATGGTATTTAGAGGCTTTTCACTATAATGAGAAAATGGAAAGCAAATAAATAAGTATGGACGGTTGACGAATGGACTTTGAGAAGGCGCTATATATCAATAACGACCCCCGGCTAGGAAATGTATCTACCCCCAACCATCAAGACTATTCAGTATGACTACTTACGCTGTCCCCCCCTCGTCTTACCATACTTTTTTCTCGGTCCATCGACCTACCGATGTGTCTCCACTAAGGCTTTAGGTGCACGATTCTAACTTCGACTTCTTCCGCATTGCGTCGTCTCTAGGACCGGAAAACCGGCGAATGGCCGTACCAATCTCAAACCACAAATAATTAGCGATGTGGGTCCACTGACCTTCCTTACTGTGACTGGGAATCATACTGAGCCCCAGAAAGACCTTTATAAGTGAAATCCGCGCCATGTAGAATCAAACTTGACTTAATTCCTTAATATAAGGCAAAACAGAACATTTCCGCTCGTGCAATATGATACCACCCTCTAAAGCGTTCGACTTCACTGGTGAAGTCGCGATTGTGACTGGCGCCGGCTCTCGCATGCCTGGTAAGCTTGGCCTGACCTTGTACCTTGTCGCATTAGTTTCGAACATGCGCTTATAATTCTGCATAGGGGAGATCGGTAATGGCCGTGCAACGGCGATCTTGCTCGCACGGAAGGGCGCCAAGGTTGCTCTGGTAGATTACAATGTTGGCTGGGCCCAAGAGACAAAGAACTTGATTGATCTTGATGGTGGTCAATCGGTGGTAATCCAGGCTGACGTGACGGATGAATAAAGCTGTAAAAGGGCCGTGGCGCAGACCGTCGAAACGTTCGGAACGGTTCACATACTTGTCAACATTGGTTAGACTTGCCCAAAGAACGTTCTGAATTACAAACTGATGATGTTAATTTTCTCTCAGTGGGGTTTGGAGGTGCCATGGGAGATGTTACGAAACTTGACCTTGACGCATGGGACAGAGACTTCAAGATTAATGTGACCAGCATGGTCATGATGAGCCGCCATGTCGTGCCGGAGGTGAGAAAGAATGGACGCGGCGCAATCGTCAATATGTCCTCAGTCAGTGGCCGTACGTGTTTCTCCAATCGGATGCTACTTGCCTGGAAAGCTGAGCTGACTTGTACAGTCCTAGGAGGCAACCCCAGTCTGCTGTACCCCACCACAAAGGGGGCAATTATCCAGATGACTCGCGCTATGGCGGCTCAACATGGCCCTGAAAACATCCGAGTGAACTGTGTCTGCCCGGGAATGGTGTTCACTCCTATGGTACGCGGTAGAGGAATGACGGATGAGATGCGCCAGGCTCGGATTAATCAGAATCTCCTGAAGCAGGAAGGGACAGGTTGGGACGTTGGTTATGGTAAGTCCATAGTGTAGGCGAGAGAGGGACCGGAATGGCTAATCTGAATTGCGTAGCAATTCTTTTTCTTTGCAGCAAGGAGGCTAAGTGGATCACTGGACTGATCATGCCTGTTGACGGTGGGGTGAGTTGATTAATATCATGCCGAGCTTTATCAATTTGAGCTAACGTGGTTCTTCTTCCTGCGATTAGACAACAGCAGGCAAAGCAGACAGACCAGCCCTAAAGCCAGACACACTTGCGGAGCAGGTGAAAGGCATTCCAAACAAGGGATGAAATTGATGCGCTGTACAAAAGTGACGACTGTGAAGAATATCATTGGGGTGTTTAGAGATGCAATTAATAAAGAAATATATTCGAAACATGAATCTTCACCCTTATACCGCAGTCTTTCAAACCCTCAAAATGCACCATAACATAGAAACTTAAGATGAACGGAAACCTAAGGCTACCTTAATAGAGTCCCTGGTAGTAATTACATCACTCCAGCTCGCTTAGCGCGTTAAGACGTCCTCATTTTCCAATGTAGACTTGTAGCCTTGACTGTCAGATGGTATCTAACCCGCAACTTACGCGGCACACCTGATCTTACCGGGCCTGGGGACAGAATCTAATTCCATTCAGCGAGTCATACGTGGCCGCCCCACGCTTGCGGGATATGGCCGGCGGCCCTATGCTCATCGGTGAATGCCCGGGCACGACTGTTCCGTCTTGCGTATCGGCGTAATTCCGTGGCCCAGTCGCAGGAAGGGCCAAATATCCAAGCGCGGGGACAATATGCAAGACTCAGGCCACTTGGTGCATGTAAACCTCGTTGGTATTTATCCAAGATCGAGAAGTCATACTCCACCAGAAACTCCAATGCTATTCAGAACCCAGCTTCGTTGTAAACACAGGACTCGGCTTCACCTCTGATATGGACAATTTATGATCCCAAAACAGCCGGTTCCTCTTGGCCAAAATTGTAGTTTGCTTCGTTTGTCTATGTTTAATTCATAAGAGGGATTACATGTAAGGTTAGCCATATTCTCTCGTGCTAGACCAATATGGAGTCGTCTGTGCCCAAGGAATCTACGTTTCCTACGCTAACCTCTTCAAAGGCGCTGAAATGATGACGGAATTTGGAAAGAGAAAGGAAATTATTTGACTGACCATGAAAGACTGCTCCGGTAGATGACCGGTTCTGCGCACCGTTGCATTCAGTTGCTGGCGAGCAATCCCTCGATTCGGAGTTTGGCCGCGGACTAACGATCGACTACAGGCAATTTTCCCGATGCCCCTTCGTACGAATGGTGGTTTAACCAAGCTCAGCAGCTACGAAACGTTAAAACTACATACTGCTTACAAACCTGTTCTCCAGTGATTCAGCATATGCCTTTGTACCTTTTCCCCCAGGTCCACTCTATATCCATCCTCACAGCTATAATCATGAGGTTCGAATACGCCTCAAAGGAAGCAGATCCTTCAGACATCGAAGCTGGCGAAGTGTATAAACGGGTTGCAGCGCGTCGTTTACCACGCCCACTTATCCCTCTCGATCTTGGTTTGCTGCATGCACCTCCCGTTGCAGATGGCTACAACAGCTTTATTGGAGCACTTCGGACGAAAACAGTCATCCCTGCAGCACTATTGGAATTGAGTATCTGTCGCGTTGGTCATCTCAATGGCGCTGTTTATGAGTGGAACGTGCATGGTCCGCTGGCATTCAAGGCGAGGCTCTCCATAGAGCAACTGCAAGGAGCAGCAACCCTACCACCGTTCACCAACAAGCAGGACCGCACACACAAGGCCTGGGAAAGCAGCCTTCTCACTGGGGTACAGCAAGCAGTTCTCAAATATACGGATGAGGTCACTATGAGGGTAACAGACAGTGATGAAGTGTTTCGAGAGGTGCGTCAAGCCCTTGGTTCTGACCGCCAAGTGGTAGAACTCACAGCGACTATTGATGGGTATAACTGCGTCAGTCGTAATTTGGTGGCCTTGGACATTGGAGAGCATAGTGCTAGTCGGATGAAGAGCGCGCGCAGGAATTGGCCGCTGGTTGTTGACGGAAGGGGCTCTAGCCTGGGACGTATACATAAGGGCCAATTCCATGTACTACAAGGCTCGACGAACACTGATAAATTTCAACTACCTACTATATTAATGGACACTACAGTCAGTACTCTGGTGAGAATCAATGATTTTGGGTAGTGTTGTAGCTTGAATCGCTGGCTCTAAGATATTTAGTTCGCGACAACGCTAATCGAAGATTCTTCACTCTATCCTTTTATACCCTTAGATCTGCTAGCCGACGTCATCGAGCGACGAACACAATATTATCACGCATGTCACTAAGCCGCATGTAATGGGAGCAACTCTTCAACCCTCATCCCTTCCTAGCCTTTTCTAACCCCGACAAATGCCCGTAGATGTTCACGATGCAATGTTATCGTATGTATCCCTCCCACCCCAGCTGCGATAGGATGACGCAGTATAAGTGTATATGAGCGTGACTATTGGATTAGCAGGAAGACGATTTCTCTTGCGTGGTATATAACTGCCAAGGGAAGGACAATAGAGCTTAGGCCATTGCTCGCTTCAGCATCTGCCCGCACATATTAGTTCGATACCTCATCGACATCGGTATGTGGCCGCTGTTGTCGAAACTAGTCCCCGCAAGCCATCCGACACAGCCCAAATACGAGAGGATATACACTAGATCTCCGCGGACTTTCCGGGTGGATGTATTTCGGTAGGCAGCCAAGAGTAAAAGCTCGCGAGGGGTAGAGACAAGAGTCAATCAAGCCTGAAGCACTCTTGTCAGGTATGCCAGCTACACCGTATCAATACTTGTGTATGTACTATATAAGTATTCGATGCTAGCCACCTTGTCATGGATAGGTGACACATACGAGAATAGGAAATAAGCAATCTTCTATTAAAGGACAACAACATGGCTACCAAGACCTTGGCTGCATGAGCTCTGGCCTTGCAATTTACCAACCTCACCCAGCCAGTTACAAACATGGCAGTCAAAAGCATCTACAACTGGGCTGGGTGTGCCATCGGAGGCTACTCCCTCCCACCTGCCAGCGTTGCATACGAGGCTTTATCTTCTGTACTTCCTCATCACTCTGGAAACGTATCCGTTCTTGGCTCAGGAGCCTGGATGGATATCCAAACCGCCGCGCTGGTCAATGGCATCGCTTCCCATGTCGATGACTACGACGACACGCATGCTGACACACCTATTCACCCATCAAGGCCGGTGGCATCTGCCCTCCTAGCGGTTGCGGAATGGAATTTTCCCGTTTCCGGGCAGGACTTTCTCACAGCGTTTGTTGCCGGTGTCGAGGCCGAGTGCAAGCTCGGGGTCGCTGTCTACCCAGAGTATTACGACGTCGGGTGGCGTATGTATTCAACCACCACGAAACATGGAGTGTGAGGCCTACTAACAACTTAAGGCAGATATCACTAGTACAACCGGCTCCGTTGGGGCAGCCGTCGCTGTTGGGAAGCTCCTGGGCCTCAGCCTGGAACATCTCCAGCATGCCATTAGCATTGCCGCCGTACAGGTAAATGGGATGCACGAGTCGTTCGGTACCGACACGAAGCCGTTCCACGTAGGCCGGGCCGCGCAGTCGGGGCTCCTATCAGCGCTCCTTGCGCAAAATGGGTACGGTGGCTCATTGCAGGGACTCGAGGCCGAGCGCGGCTGGGCGCATGTCGTGAGCACGCGCGAGAATCTGACGGCGGAGTTTTCCACCCTTGGAGAAACGTGGGAACTAAGCAAGAATACGTTCAAGCCATTTCCCTGTGATCGGATCATCCATGCCGCCATTGATGGCTGCGTTCAGATTCATGATCAAGCTGTCCATAATAGACTCGATCTCGGGACTATCAAGAATGTGACCGCGCGCACGAACCCGATGGTTCTGTTTCTCACTGATAATCCTGAGCCTAGGACGAGCCTCGACGCAAAGTTCAGTGTTTATCATGCAGCCGCTATCGCCTTGCTCTTTGGCCAGGCTTCCCCGGCCCAGTTTACGGACGAGATGGTCAGAAATACGACTGTCGTCGAGTTGCGAGCCAAGGTCCATATTACAGCGGATGAAGGGATTAGTGAGCACGAGGCTTTTTGTCTCCGTGGAGTTCGCCGATGGCAAGACTTTAGACGTGCACATCGAGCATGCACTGGGTAGTATCGAAAACCCCTTGTCCACTCAGCAGCTGAAGGACAAGTTCATTGAACATGCCGGTTCAGTCATTGGGAAACAACGAGCCGAGAAGGCCTTCCGTGCGTTCTCTCAAATAGCCAATACATCAGATGTTGGGTCTATCTCACGCAAGTTTAGGAAGTGAGGGAAGGTTCCACTGTAGCCTTCATGGTTCCGGTTTTTGTCATCTGGCTTTTTCGATGGCGGATACTTTATATCAGAGGGTTTCATTTTCCATGAATGTTCATGGATGGTTAATAGACTGAGCTGGATCAGTGCGTCTGGAAAAACACGCATGCAACTGATGTGTTCACTAAGAAACCGTTTCTGTAATAAATACCTTGATTTAGTTTTTAACGGAGGATGTAACTGGTTCTCTTCAGTCTATGCCCGCAGTTATCTTGTGCCAGAATAGATATCCGTTATGAACTTGTTTTTCCTTGGTGCGAACGTAAGGACCCAGTATCCTCTCGATAGTAGAGGTTCATCAGGGTTGTGGTATCCGCCTCAAACCAGACAAGCAATGGATAAATAACCCGCAGGTTGGGGAAAGAATTCCCTTCAGATTTGGGCACTAGCAACAGTTTGCTTCTGTGGTACTTTAAAAATAAGCATGTAATCATTGCTCAGAATAAGGGGAAGCCATGGCTCAATGATGGTGCTACGAACTCGACTCTCATAGGACCAGAAATACGAGCCAAGCGCGGGATCGAAGAGACTGCGCCTCACTTGATCGGCATCGAGATGCTGCTATATCAGTTTATCCACCCTCCTATTCCCTTAATCTCACAGTTCCGGATAATTCAATCGCCTTCCAAATAATGCCTGTCACTCTGACCACTGCAGGCCATGAAGCCCAAGGCTGGAAAAGCCCTAGGGTATCTAACTCGGAACAATTGTTCCAAGAGTCGCGGCCCAGAGACTACAATCGTAGCAAAAGGCTCATACAAAGCTCCTTCACACAAAATGTCTTCCACGATACCCATATCTCTGGGTCCGAGCACGGCTTCGTATGGGCTGTCTATAGCGCATACAGCCATCACCACCATTTAACTCTACGACCTGACGATGTTTGGTTTTCGATCCTCTCACAACTGAGATATTACATCCCCGCACATGCCGAAGAGTTACGACCCTTTTTCGTTTCTCACCAGGGAAAAAAGAAGCTCGAAGTGGTCGCCGATGGGGACATCAAAACCGTCGATTTCGGAGCTCTTGCGCTATCTATGACCCAGCTGGCCCAGGACAACATCAACGACCCCGACCTAGGCACCTGGATTATGCCCAGCTTTAGCACTACTACACAGATGGACCGCGTCGTGGCATCTGTATTGATGATGGGGGCTTTGCAGAAATACTTCGACTACGGGATAGCACTAGACTGCGGCATCCCAACCGTGACATTGCTCGGTGAGCGCGACGATTGGGAACAAATGTTGTGTAAGCTGGATCCCATTTGCCGGCTCGGAGAAGAACCTACGTGCTTTGTCTCTCTGCTGCGCCCGGTTCTCCGGCGATTTGTGGCTTCCTTTGACAACCCGACTTCGCCTGATATCATCGACTTCTGGAACAAATGCGCCCATAAGTCCGGCGGAAGCGGAACCCATTATCTCTCGGGCTGGCTGACGGCATTCTGTTTCTGGGACGATGATGGTCGCTCATTGTTCGGGAATGGCCCCCGGAAGGAGGTCTCGCTGAGTGAGTGGGATGGAGAATGCGCTGGTTGTGAACTCGACGGCATTTACTATCACCGGATGGACTCTTGGCAAATCCCAGCGGGGGTTGGGTCAGTCCCTGTCAATGTACGCGATTACGATAGCACTGAGCACAATATGGTGATGTTGGCTGGTTTGCCCGGAATCCAAGCGGTGTCCTCTCGTACTGATGGTTCGGGTCCTCCTGACTCAATCCGGCCATTGTCCGGATGGTGGATTTATGAGAAGGAGGGCCTTGCGGAGGAGCAGAGACGGGAAGAAGAGGTGAAGGTGATTGATGAGGAATTGGAGGTTATGCGGGAGATGGAAAATGATAAGTGCGATATGAAGCGCATGTTCACATTGTTGAATAGGAGAGAAGAGCTTCTGACTATGTAACGCCACAGCGGAGCAGCCAGCATCCCGTTCTCCGCTCCAGAAGTCTATATCACAATAGTTTAAAGCTCCTGAATCAGGATCTGAGGCCGCGGATGCGTCTTGCGTGTCATGGATCAGATCTCTGGGTGGCGTGAGCGAAGCAAGTGTATGCGCAGAGGCTCATTGAGCTGCATGATATAAAGCTAGCAGTAAGCCAGAAAAGATGTAAAGAATCACGACGGGGCTTCAGAATCGCAGATCTATGGCCTTCACCATGATCTTCAATACTTCTTTGTAGCTTGACACGAAACACACAAATTTCTGTCAGCCAACTGTCCGAGGCCTGTCATAAGTTACAGTGGCGAAATGACCTCGGAACATATATGTGAACACGCACATATTTCACCTGATTATGCAAATAAGGTTGGTTAGTGTATCGTGGCCCCGAAGAAACGATGAGTAGTAGACTGGCTGTTAAATGTGTATACAGTGTGGAGCCCACACGGCCTGTGTCTGTTAGTAGTGAACAACGGTTATCAGCGGCTCAACAGTAACAACATTCGCCATCGTTTGTTAATCTGAATACGGTTATTGATAGGAAATCTGCTTTATCATTTCTTGTATCTTTTTTTTTTTTTTTTTTCAAAGATATAAATAGATTGTCACAGCTATTGCATGGAAACCAGCGTTGGAACAGGGAGCGATTTATGTGAATTTCATATAAATGGACTACAAGACTCGAGTGTGTAGTGTCACAAGATTGATAACTTGACTACATACATAGATATAAAAACCGATCAGTGAGCCTTAGTGTTTACCATCCAAGCGACCAGGCAGAAGTGAATAAGGTAGTAAAAATGGAGTTTCTATCGACAGGAGAGCATGTCAGAAGATTACCCTACCAGCCAATGTCCTCTACGCGACATTCCTCGGCGACAATTGTACCCAGCAAAGTCTTCGGATCCCCCTCGGTAGCGGCACGAATGATATTCATAGCGCCCTGACCTGCATCCTTGACACCATAACCGCCCGTGAAATTTGTCCGACAATAACCCGGGGACGTGGAGACGACCAGAATATTCTCTTTCTCGAGGGTCACGCCCTCGACTGCCGTCAGCATGTTCAGAGCCGCCTTACTACTGCGATACTCAGGGAGACGCGCATGACGTGCACCGTACTCAGATGTCGGAGAGTAAGCGACACCCATCTGAGCCATGCCGGTGGTCACATTGACAATACGGCGGTCATGGTACTTGGAAGCCCTCAGGAGGGGAAGAAAGGTATCAATGATAACAGCGACGCCAAAGACATTAGTCTCGAACACGGCGCGGAAGCTGTCGCGCAGACTGAGGTTGGGATCTGTGGCGTTACAGATGGCTGCATTATTGATTAAGATGTCAAGGCTGCCGAACCGATCCGAGACCGACTTTGCCGCTGCGGTAATGGAAGCATCGTCATTAGCATCAATGACTAAAGGGGTCAATGCCGAACTGTCTATCGTGGAATTGGATACCAGTTGTTTGATCGCTGATTCTGCCTTTGATTTGGTTCGCGCTCCAAGCAGGATGTGGTATTTGCCTGTCTCAGCTAGTTGCTCTGCCGTGGAATAGCCAAGGCCTTGGTTGGCTCCTGTAATGAGGACTAATGTCTTGGACATTATGTTGGATGTGTTCACTCCTCTAGGGCCGGTAGATGTGTGTTCAAAAGCATGTTGTCCTGCAATGGCTATATATAGGCTTCTTCTACCTGACCTGAGTTGTTAAATGTACAAAGAATGCCTTTGCTATGGATTATAAATCAAGAATACTGGCATATGTAACTTTCCTCCACCCGGACTTAACGGAGAACCTGTTGCCAAAATCCGCTTTATATCCTTGTTAGGTCTCTTATAATGAAAAGTAGCCCCCAATACCAGGTTCCATAAGCACTAAGACGAAGGTCGTTGGCCCAACCTAGAATTGTGTATTGGCCTACATCGGACTTAAGAGTCACAATTTACTACCGCCGCTATCTATTACATATGGGAATAGTGCAGTCTATACTCTAACTTTGAGGGAGCGAAAGCTCATCATTCTCTTAAGATGGGCGTGACGTCAATTGCGGCTGATACTCCTGGGTGAGCTAGGGCAAAGCAAATCACGAGCGCCTGAGACTTATAGTTTCCATACTGGGTGGATCTACAGCATAAGCTTTTTCTTGTGTTTTGTATTCTCAAGACACGTTCCTAAGAGGAACATGACGTTGTTTCATGAGGTAGAACTAGTGGGTAGCTAGCTGGATCATCGTGTAGACCTATTCCTGCGAAAGGCCTCCATCTAAAAGATACGGAAAAAGCATACAGCAGTTATTCTATGGTGGAGCTCACCTAGCGCCGACAATTCGGGTGTTCACCGTCTGCCCGAGATTCTCGGGCCACTTTCTTCGATACGTTTCCCGAACTGATAGAGGGGGAATCTAATATTTCTCAATGTATCACTAGCTAAGGTCTATGGAAGGACGCACAAATGATCAGTCAGTACACGCCAGTCAGACTCACTGTCGTCGAACCTGACTTTCTAATCTCTAATGTCTTATATCAGAAGCAAGAGAAGCCGAAACACTTCCTGGACTGGGGTAAAACCCAAGGGGACTATGATTGCTAGGCTGCGGGCGAGCAACTTAATACTCCCGCGCCTAGCATGTAAAAATTGCTCGCTTGCTCGGTGTTCAGCTGCCCTCAAAGGCGTTTTTGGTGCGACCCATTCCTCAGCCATAGCGATCTCTTTGGATCTAAGTTCACTTGTCGTGCTGGCATGATAGGATCTTCAAACAAACGCTTGCGGTGAACACAACCTCTCCAGCAGCATCTCAAGAATAGATGATCGGCGAATGCGGCTTTGATAGTATCGATTATTACAACTTCGATGACGCCAATGAAAGCGGCAGTTCGCATAAGAATGCTGCAAAGTCGATATAAGGTGTTGGTGAGTGGAGTGAATATAGGGCGGACAACGCAGGTAATGACAATGGGTACGTGTCGGGTTTTGCCATCGGTGGCGATAGTGAGTGACAAGATTCTGACTTGGCGATAGAG